CACACACACACACACACACACACACACACACACACACTGAAAGCCTGTTACACAATAACATGATTAATGAAAAAGTCTAACTCACGACACGTAAACACTGAAGAGTCCACACTGCTGCCCTGACAGCGCTGCCTGTGCTGCTGCTGTTTCTGGGGAAGAAACTAAAAAGTGCAACATTGTGCGCTCGGAGCTGCAAAGGAAGACGAGACCGAGGGAGGCAAGAGGGGGGGACGGTGAGGGAACTGGGAAGAAAGGCCAGCAGATCAAACACCTGTCGACATCATCTGACCTCCACAGCCTCACAGCACAGGCTGCCTGACCGGGTGAGCTGAGCCAGCAGCCATCATTAAAAGTCTTCTTATTCATGGCAAAGCTGCTCTTCAAAGGTGCAAACACCACCAGCTGCTCCATCACCATGGACGGGTGTAAACCTTTACATCAGCTCATACTCACAGTTCTTATGAAGGAGGAAATTATCTACGGAGACCAAACAGTTTGTCTGTACACGTGGGACTGACTCACTGCTGCCTCTGCTGGACAGTAGTGGAACTGTAAATTTCACAGTAATGTACGTTACTGTGAGCTGATGCTCTCTGAGGTCATTTCCTGTCCTTTTATAGACGTTTCACAGCCGTATGTCACACATTGCATCCCTTTGAAGTCGTTCTGTTCCTTTGTAATAGTTCAGTATATCTTTGTGCTCATCTCATGCACTTCAGGGCCGTTTTGCATCCTTGTGCAGGAATTTCACACTCCTATAGAGTCATGCTGCATACTTTTTGTCATTTTAAGTCTCTTTGCAGCCCTTTTCTAATCCTTCTGCACCTCTTTGATGTTGTTGTCCATCCCTTTGTACTCATAAAGAAACCTTTTTAGTCATTTTGAGCCCCTCTGTAGACATTAAGCATCACTTGGTGGATATTTTGCACCTTTTTAAAAAGCTTTCTGCTTGAGTCATTTCTCATTGCTTTGCAGTCATCTTCAATCCCACCACACACTGTGCT